AGACATGACTGGGGGATAGGACAGGGAGAAAGAATGAAAGAAAGAGAGGGAGAGAAAGAAAACCAAAGGGGAGAAGAGACGGTGAGAAGGGGGGAAGAAAGAAACCAAAAAAAACCCACAAACAAACAAAACACCTGGATCACCTGTGTAGAGAAATATCATTTCTTTGCATTCTTCGCAAATCTGATATTTTATTAATTCGCTCCCTCTAAACATGTATTGTCCTTACAGCTGTGTGGCCTCTGTAAGAGCAAAATTGCAACAAACTGATCATGGGCACTGTGTTAATCATTTACTGTATTGTCCCTTTATATCCTTTTAATATAATGTTAAACTCATTAAGAGACTTATAAGAATTTAGTTGCAATGTTTTGATAAAGGTTTTAGTTACAATAACAATAAAGAGTAGTGTATATGAGCACATGTGACATCAGATTTGCATATTGACTCTTTTAAACACTTTATAACTTCAATAATCATTATTTTACATTAACAGTGCACAATGTGACTCTGCAGTACAGTGTACAGATTTGCTCACTTTGTATTTTGGTTTTCTGTGCCAAAACTGTAGATAATTCAAATCCATTTACTGGTTTTCTTTTCTTGTTATCATCCTAATTTCTAGGAAGTTGTTGTTGAAACAAAGATACAGCACTGTGTGGTGATAAATCCACTGCAAATTATCACCGTGGTGCCAAATTTTAGACTAGAATGTTTAGCAGCTTACTGGCGGATATAGCAGGACATTTGTTCTATCTGTAATTATTTTAAATTGACATTTAACTTCATAAAATAATTTTATTGCTGTAGTTCAAAAATGAGAATTTTTAATCTACACTAATGGCTTCTGTGGGGTTTTTTTGTTTTTTTTTTGTTGTTTTTTTGTTTTTTTACAAAATGTTCATTTTGGTTCTCAAATTTTGCAAATATATATGGATTAGTCAGTTACAGACATAGATGTATACCTTTTTAAGTCTAGTCTGTCACCAGTTTTTTAGTCATCTGGTTGTTAGGTTAATTAAAACAGTGTACAAAAAAGATCCAAAAATAATATATATCTAGTAATGTCCTGCTCTAAACTATAGATCGTCCTGATCTATATAACACTCCCTTGTTGGCCTCGTATACTCTCTATACAGTACTGTATACTGACGGGAGTTTAGATAAACTGGAATATTAGAAAAAGCAGCTGATTATGGTAGTCTACAGTCACTGTTATCACGTGGTTGATGTTTAAAATTGATAATTTTTTAGGTCAATAATTATAAGATAATTAATATAAAAATTGTTTAAGAAATACTTTAAGTCACAGGAAGCCATTTTTGGGTTTGTTTAATAAAAAAGTATTTTGTACTCATAAATGTACATTGTTAATTATGGCTTCCAACAAAATGATGCATTAATTGATCCATTCTCATTAACTTGGAATGAATCCATTAAAAATACAATGGTAGGGGTCCTGGTTTGTGCCACGTTGCCCACCATCAGCGCCTGAGATGGGCATCACTGTTGTATTATTATAGAAAGAAAGAAAGTATACTTCCTCTCTGCATTTAACCCATTCACTCAGTGAAGCAGTGGGCAGCAATGTGTAGGGACGATACCTTGCTCAGGGGTATCTCAGGGTAGCCATTCAGTGGATTCGGACCACCGACCTTCTGATCATGGGGCTTCCACCCTACCTACTGAGCTATCCCTGTTAATAGAGTGTTAACCTTACAGTATACAGTGCCTCAGGGCAGTTGTTGTTGTGATTTGGCACTATATAATTAAAACTGAATTTAATTGAATTGTTCTGCCTAATGGCTCTTTATGTATGTGACTAGATAGGTAGAAACGTTCTAGGTAAAGGTAAAGGTGTAATTTAAGAGCATTGGACTCCTTAAACAATTTGAACCGTCTGTCCAAAGTAAATAGACGTGAACACACATTGACAGCTGACAGCAGATCGAAAGCCTTCCCTCAATACAGATAAACAGAGCTCTACAGATGCCACCATAGCTAGGATTATGCACTTTAATTGAGAGGGGAAAACAGAACTTAGGTGACTGCAATCTGCAGTCTACTGACATCTAGTGGTGAGATTTTACACACTGTAACGTTTCTATTTTACATACTTCTACTACAAAATCGACTTAATAACAAATCTAAAATAGAATTATATATATTGTCTTGACCTATTAAAAACATAAATAATCATCTGATGACAGCAAAGTTATAAAGCTGGAATATGAACAATAATACTACTTTTAATGAACAAACAGTGTCATATATGAGTGGCCGTAAGAAGAAGACATGTATTGGCTATGCAATAAAGCATTAAAGCAAAGGAGTACAATAGATTATTGGGTTCAAGAGGTTAATGTCTCTGCATTTACATGACGTCATTATTAGTGTTTTATTATTTATTTATATTAAATCATTTTAGGATTTTCAGTCATGACCACAATACTAAGCAGTGGGTCCTGAGGTCTCTGCTCTACTGTTTTTCAGTATTCAAATATTAAAGCTGCAGCGAGAAGTACATTGAAATATAGGCCACTAAGGATAGACTTGCTGTTCAATAAGAAAGAGACTAACTTCTCAGGCTCACTTCTCAGGATATCTGTGTCTAATTCTAAATGTCTTGTTGTGTTTTCTGGGAGTAGACGATATCTCCAGTGACAAGTGCCTTTGGCAAAACTGTGTAGAATTCAGTTTGTTACAGAAAACTCTGCAATGTGATGACTTTAACCCAGCTGCATTGCGTGGGAAAATATCATCAGGATCTGCTTTAAGATGATGCTGTTTTCAGTGTTCATGAGTTAACTTAAGGTCGACTCCACTGTCCTGACACATGTAACCATTTCCAGATGAAGGTGGGCTTTAGCGACATTTTCAAAATCCTGTTAGAGTTCCACTAAAAACAGGGTGGTTTTCCTCAACAGATGGCACAAACCACCCACAGAGAGAAGGCGAAAAAAACATTGACGTGTTCTCAGAAACTAGGGTGAGGTTTAAAAGTTGTCTCTTTTTTTTTAACAGCCACACTGAGATTTCTGTTTGAGTTTAACTTGTAGCAGCTAGTGATATATAGATGTTAAAGATGTATTAAACTGTCACCGTCTTCACATCATTTTGATGGACTCACGTTTGTCAGAAAAGTATGCAGAGCAATGTTAGTGCTTTGTACAACTTACAAGACCAAAAAAAAAATTGATTTTAATCGAGATATCGATATCGAGAAATTCCTTACCTTTCTAATATGAGTAGAATCTCTTGGCCCTTCCTCATATCAGAAGAATGAAAATCCTGGTTGTTTTTACATCCACAGTCACAATATATTGCACTAACTATTCAGATTCTCCACTCCTACATTAACATGTTTTGGTTTAAACATTTTCCCATCCAAACGTCCACAGATAACCTCTCACCATGTCAGCATCTGTTTTATGAGAGGAACTTTTTTCCCTTTTTCAGGCAAATGCTGCCTCGCTTCTATAATGGTGTTGTTTTAGTTTGAAGGGATTTACGATGAAAATGGAGATGCAGAGGAGATATTCATTCATTGGTAGTCATTTAAACAGACAGCCCTACTTGATTCCATTTTAATTTGTTTTCCATGGTAGATATGCTGTGCTGTAGCCAGTTTAAATGTCCTCAGATGCGTTTTACCATATATTATGCATTTCGTTACAGCCAGATTGTAGCTTTTGAATTGCTCTGTATTCGTCGATCTGTAAAGTGAGATCATAAAGTGCAACGGTGCTTCTCTGAATGTTATTCTGTTATGTTTAGTGATTTTCATACAGAGTTTCCAACATAATTCCATGCTGACCACCAAAGCTTTTGGGAGTTTTATTTAAAAAATTTTCAGCACTCTTAGTTTGCTGTTCTTTTCTCCCATCACTTATTTCCTGTGTTGAAGAAGGCATTTCATGTTTGCTTTGGCCCAGCTGATGCTTTGGCCAAGAGCTGACTGGCCTGCTATGGGTGGGAGAGAGCAAGAATTTCATTTTGAGTTCACCCCAACTACCTTAGTCCACCCATGGCCACTATTTCTTCTTCCACCTCTCCGTTCTCTCTCTTTTCATCACTTTCTTATACCCTTCTCCACCTGTTTCTCCATTTTCCACTGTGTTTCTGTATTTTCACTGTTCTGCAACTGATTTATGGTGATCTATTTCTGCAAAATCCAAGGAGATGATCCTATTTTTTTTCTTATATACTTCCTTTATTTTTGTTTAGATCATTTCACTACAGGAACATATGTGAAATGGTGAAATCGACCAGTATTGGTCTTCTTCGTTGAGGGTTATATTTAACAGTTTTTTTTATGCTGAGTGGAGTATGCTGGGGTTACACCAAGTGGAATGCATCAGCTGCATCTGTGAATTTACATTAACGCCTGGTGAAAGTTGTAATCTGATTTAGAGTTTTGAAGGTGGCTCTTTCGTGTCACAATTTCTTTCCCTACCGTTATGTTGGTAAATGTGGTTGTACTGGACTTAAGCTTGTCAGACATGCTAAAGCTTAGCATGTCTGACTGTACGGTAGCGCACTGCAACCAGTTTTGACTTCTGGGCCACCTGTTTAACAGCGACAGACTTTTACTGCTGGTTTGACTCAATTTATGGATTGCTGATGTTAACTGTTCTATTTTTACTGTGACCAAGTATCCTGTAATTTATTGCCACCAGTGTGATGAAGAAACCTCATACTGTCGAGAGGAAATTTGCCATCAATTCAGAGGCTGTCATTCCAAAACGATGCCTTCTGGAAAGTAACGATGATCATGCTAATTAGCCTTTCTTATGTTATAGTTAAGTAAATGACTTCATTGTGTTTATTTAGCAGATTTTTTGATCTATATGATCTGTGTTTATTCTGCATAATCTCTGTTATTCCTATTTTTTTCACTAAAAATGTTTTATGATTAGCACACTTTACTGCTGTTTCACTAAGTAAAGATTATCACTATATCTCATTACCTCATTATTACTTCTCTCTCTGTCCCGCAGAGTCTAGGATGCGATGAGTATCTCGGATCAGGAAGGGTGGTGGACAAGTGTGGCGTGTGTGGAGGTGACAACTCAACCTGTAGGCTGGTTTCAGGAGTGTTCAAACATAGTTTATCCAAGATCGGCTATCACAAGATAGTGGAGATCCCAGAAGGAGCCACCAAGATCAATGTTACTGAGATGGTGAAGAGCAGAAACTACCTAGGTGGGTGGTAAACATACTCACAGGATACTGTGCTGTGGCTGTACTGACGAAGAATAGCCAGTTAGTGCAGTTGAGTCTTCTTGCTCATGGCTGGTTTCCTTAATTTTATTCTAGCTGCTGTATTGCAGCTGGGTGAATGTATAAGTTAAGTTTAGCATTTTAGCCAACAGAACTGCTTTAGCATTTCACTGTTTTGATTATGAGCACTAACAAGTAATTTAAAGCACCTAAATTAAAATTACACCCTTTTTCCCACTTTTTTGTTACTCTTTATTAGTTCAGCATTCGTTCAGGCAGTCAAGATCAGTCATAATCTTCAGTGGATCTCAGCCATGCTCTATATCAACTAATACACTCTGTGTTTTAAGCTGCATTAGCCTGACCACAGTTGTGCCTGAAGTCGCGTTGTAACTCCCCTCGACTCCATCTTCCTTTCATGTTCTTTCGGGGCCATACCTGTTGTCACTGAAGCCTGATGTTCTGTACAGTCTTACAGCTGGTATCTCCTCCTGTGGCTTTGTGGAATTGTGGAGACGTGTGCTCTCCTAATAGAGCCAAAGAGAGTGTTATTTCTTTCTACAGTAATTTAAATGTTCTTTTGACTACAGTGGCCCTGAATGACCTGTAATCTAAAAGCCCCACCTTCCTCCATAGTGCTTACTCCTACTCAGTCTTTACTCTCTGCCATGCTGTGCTGGGCATATTCTTTATTTAAACGCAGATGCCAAATATAAAAATGTTTCCGTTCACATCACATTATATTTCATTGCATATGTGACAGCTAAATGAATTATGTTTGGGGAAAAAAATAACAGAGATCGTTTCTTAGCAGCACATCAGTCATACTATAATAATATTTTGACATCTGCTAGTTTGTTTGAGAAAAGAGGTTTTAGGTATTAGTTGCTAAAACTGTGTGAACAGTATAGAAATGCTTGAATGTTGGCCATATACTTTAAATAAGAGGCCTCTAAGAGTGCTTGTCGTTGGTAACTGCTAATTTAGCTGTCTCGCAGCAAATAGAGCATTTTAGTTTCCATCCTGGTTTACAGTTTCATTAGTCACAGTTTGCTGCAGAGTTCTGCTTTCAGCAGCTCAGAACATACGTCAGAAAACCTCCATCTGCCATGCGTAGTGTTACATGTATGACACCAGTGAAAAGAAAGTCATGAAAAGAAATCATTAAATGATGAATGTGAGAAATGTTTGTTACATTAGCACTAAATAAGCCTGAGCAGGTAGGAGCTGTTTGTTACATTTGTTTTATTAAACAGCATTTTGCTTTTTAGGATTTCTTTGGCCTTATGCCTATATCGCCACCCACTGTGTCTTACCGTTGTTTAGTGGAGCCTTTGAGTGACCCACACTTTTTACTGAGGTGCAACAGTGGGACAGTAGAGGCTTATTTATTCAGAAATGGCTGTTGGAATGTCAGACATTGTTTAATAAGAACCTTGCCCTGACTCAGCATTGGGTTTAGAGGAAGAGGAGAGCAGTCCTGGTCCCCCCCCACCACCCCCCATCCACCCACCCTTAACTGCTTTCCCTGAGGAAAGTGCATAAACATGCTTTCATCAGAGGATCTTACCCTTCAGGACTCACAATCTTTTTTTAATTAAAGTGCGGAATTTCACCACCCAATAAAAAAAATAAAAAACTGGAAACATTAAGACGACGAATTCAGTGGCTGTCTTTCAAACCCCAGCTGCTTAGATGCCAAGTATGCTCAGCTTTCTTTAATTTGAACTGACCATTTATATACACAAGTACACAGAGTTATGTACAGACAAAAAATACTAGTATTTATATGAAAAACTTTGCTGCACCTTATACAGCATTTACAAACTCTTCATTCTTCATTCACACATAGCAAGAAAAATACGTGTGTTCTCTAAGTGGATATGTTTTCAGTTTAAAAATCTGTGGCACATTTATAAAGGTAAAATAAAGAGGAATGATCTGAAGGTGTTATGCATTGAATTTATAAAAAGATTACACAGTTCCAGGGAGCAACATATGTTTTAAAATGCAAACGAGACTAGAATCAGGCAGGAGCCATCAACTATATCCTCATCACATCCCTGATTTTCCCTTCAATAGGCCTTTGTTCTACGCTCTGCATCTCTAATAGTGCTTTTAGTTGTCCAAACACTCTTTTACAAGCCTGTCTAATGTTACACTTCTAATGTCTTTCTAATGGCCCTTTTGTATTTAATCCATGAAATCAGTGGAAAAACCTCTTGGGATATTTTGTTACAGGATTTGCATGAAAGATTTGCCAGCACAAACAGATTGTCACATTTGAAAAAGACATTGCTCTGAAAGTGCATGTGAGAGCTTTTATTCAGTTAGCTACTGTAATTACCTTTTTGGGTTTGAGCCACTTTTAAAAAGAATACAGATCCCATTATGCCAAATAGTTTTACATTAAACAATAATTATATAGAAGAGCTTTTTGGTTACATGTTTTTCTCATGTGTTTGTCAGTCTTGATTGTCAGTCTCTCTGTGTCTACCAGCTTTGCGAAGCCGATCAGGGCGATCAATCATTAATGGAAACTGGGCAATTGACCGGCCAGGAAAGTATGAGGGTGCAGGGACCATGTTCACCTACCGCCGACCCAATGAAATCAGTAGCACAGCTGGGGAATCCTTTCTCGCTGAAGGCCCCACAAATGAGATTCTGGACGTTTATGTGAGTAAAAAAAAATCAGCTTGAACCCCAAGAAAGTTACGGTGGTGGGTCTCCTTGTTTGTTTGTTTTTTGTTTGTTTGTTTTGTTTTTTGCTGACCTGAGAAACGGCGTAAAATTTTGAAAGTGCAAATGTTGAAAGGCTTACAGTTCTGTTTTGAAATTGTTGTCTAAGTCTCATCTACTTTCACTCAGATGATCTTCCAGCAGCCAAATCCTGGTGTTCACTATGAGTACATTCTCCCATCTGAGAAGCTCGTGAGCCCTCAGCAACCAAGCCGCAGGCCGGAAGGTAAATAAGACCCACTTTTGGCCCCTCCTACTGTGTACAAACGACCAAGCAAACAATCAGTGGAGAAAATAACTTTTAGATAAATTAATAAGTGCGTGTTCGTTGCAGGCCTATATATAGCTAGCTATATCTATCCATAGAGTATATCAAATTGATGACACTTCACATCTTAGGGAATGCTGTGAATGGACAGGATGGATACGACCAGCAGAATCATCAGGAAAACTTTAATTCAGCTGGCAGTGGAAGATATTCGCCTCCTCCCACTGAAAACCAGGTACCCTCCGTACAGCCACCCAGACGTGAGAGAGAATACAACTGGAAACTGACTGGTGCTACAGAGTGCAGTGCTTCCTGTGGTAAAGGTCAGTTAAAGAAGTTTATGTTGAGCTTTTTTTTTCTTTTTAGTTACAGAGAGAGTAATAAAATAACAAAACAGTGAAAAAAGTTTGCTTGAGGTTTTACAGTTTTTTTGATGTGTATATATATCTGTTTGTGATGCAAGTCTGCATTTATATGGCATTAAAATTATGTTACATCCAGTTATCAATTATGTAAAAATTATGTGTCTCCATGTGCATGTTAAACTATACCTAAAGTCAAAACTCAAAAGTTGCATTGCTAAAACATTAATCATTTGGTCTTTATGACATTGAGTAAAATATGACTTTACTGAACTTTTAATTGCACAAAAGATTTTCCCATGCGGTATATACAACAATCAAAATTTGTTTCAGGAGTTAGTGCCTAAATTTCTACTTTTTAGGTTTCAGATATTCCATCTTTCAATGTGTCAACCGGCTGACTCAGGTCCAGGTATCGGACTCTTTGTGTGACAGCAGCAGCCGACCAAGTCCACAGGAAGAGGCCTGCAACTTGCAGCCCTGCCCAGCATTGTGAGAAATTTCTCCTCTGTTTCTAGAGTGCAAATTGCAGATGTCTAAATTTAAAAAGTGTTTTTTATTCTACATGCAAGTTGACTTAATAGTATGCATGTACGCAATGAAGCCTTAATATAAGCTGTAAATATCACCCCAAGGTTCGATCCTTTAAGCAAATTTTCTATCCAGGCATTTCAGATCACACTGAGAGATGATGAGGAAGAATGTATTTTAAATTTTACCATCCATGTGGAAATATTCATACAATTTTTTTTAAACTGTTGTTTTAAAATATAGAAATTGATGATTTTCAGGTGAACCAAGTTTTTTACATCCTCTTAATTTTGTACAGTTTCTGTCCCTAAAGGAACAAATTACAGAAAATACAACAAATGAATGTCGCATTTTGGACACTAATGCTTTTCATTTTATTTAATAGCTGGGATATTGGAGAATGGTCAGAGTGCAGCAAAACCTGCGGTCTGGGCATGCAGCATCGGCAGGTCTTGTGTCGCCAGGTTTACGCCAACCGCACCCTCAATGTCCACACGAGCCGCTGTCGACACCTGGAGCGGCCTGAAACTGCCAGTACCTGCCAGCTAAAGATCTGCAGTGAGTGGCAGATTCGCTCAGAGTGGACTTCTGTGAGTGGCAGCAGTCAGACTTAATTTAACTTACAAGACTTTTCTGAACTGACCCTGAAGTTATGAAAGTTATCTTGAATCTGTACTCCTGTTCTCTACTCTTATATCTAAATTGAGCAAATAAGCACACTCATGAAAAGAAAATGGTACAGTCTCCTTAGCTATACATACCTCCATAGTACAACACTATCCATGTAGTATGTATCTTCATAGTGCTCTGTGCCATGTGGGCTGGGTCAGAGGTCACGAGAGGTACACTGTGTCAGCAATGTGGGCGACTTTGTTCCTGATGAGGAGTGCAACATGAATCTGCGGCCCAATGATGTGGAGAACTGTGATATGGGAGCTTGTGCCAAGAGCTGGTTCTACACTGAGTGGGGCAACAGGGTAAGTGTCAGCAGGAGACACAGTAACTTTCATTCATTTCTAATAACAGAGCTAGTCTTTGTATACAGAAGGTCTGTCTTCATCACTCAAGTAGCTATTCTTGATGGCCAGCTGATATAGATACCTTTTGATGATTTTGGCAGGGAAACATACAACTAAGGTCAGGTAGAAAGTTTCATGCCTATGAGGAAAACTATGAGAAAATAAAATCAATAAAGACAGTGGTTGCCACGCGATCATAGGCTGTGCTTTAGGCTGTTCCTGCTTTCAGGTTACATTGCATGACTTTTGTAAGCAGCAGAACAGATTAGCCATGAACAAATATTAAGTTCTTGCAGGGAAAGGAAGACCTCAGTGGATGACATGAGAATCCAACAGAAGCACGTGTTTTTTGTTTTACAGTGATGATACCATTTAACTTTACGGCAATACAATAGGACTAAAAGAGGAAAGTGAATGACTTTAATTTTGCAGGATTGCCTAGATTCCTCTTGATTTGAAACATACGAACTACAAAGCCAGCTAAGATATGAAGTTTCAAAGTGGGCACAGTTAGGTTCTCCATTTCCTCCTCACAAACTCATACCACCTTTGCACACATTTGACTTGTCTGCGCTCTCTTTAATGTTACTTTGTGCAAAAATAAAAACATAGACACTTTCTTATTGGCTTGATTAATTTGACCTAAACTCCAATACGTTTTGCTCCACAGTGCTCAGCTGAATGTGGCATGGGTGTACGGACACGGGGAGTTCTCTGCCTGACCAACCAAATCAGCAGTCTCCCTCTGGAAGGATGTGGCAGCGAACGGCCCGCAGACTCTCAGGTCTGCAACAACGGTCCGTGTGAGAATCGAATTGAGTGGTTCACAGGACCCTGGAGCCAGGTATGAACACAACTGGAGGTTACATTGTATGTACGGGGAAGTTGTCAGATATGTAGGACTTTACATTAATATGTCACATGGGTTTTTCTTTCTTGATTTTGTGTTTAACTGAACATAGTGCTCTGCAGAGTGTGGCACCGGCACCCAGCAGAGGTCAGTGGTGTGTTTGATGAAGTCAAATGAAGGATTCACTGTCATGCCACCGTATGAGTGCTCATCCCTGGACAAACCTCTCAGGCAGCAGAGCTGTAGCCTCAAGGCCTGTGGAGCGAAGTGGTACCACACTGACTGGAGTGCTGTGAGTAAGATATAAAACCCTCTATCACAGTTTAGATGCTTAGAATCCTCACAGTGCTTAAAACGACTGATAAGAAATCACTTTAAATCTATTGTAGATGGTTGTTTGAGTTGTACATAAAAGTGGTGTAGGCACTGTGATGTCACTCATTGGTTTGTGGGCACTTTGTTTTGAAGCCTTAGGTACTTTTTTAACCGCATATCACAACTGGTAGATCTGTCTCTGTGGAGACTTCATAGCCAATAGCAGCGACTTGCCAATCACACATAGCCCTGCTCTAAAGCCAATCCTATTTTTGTCATTTATTTTACTCTAAATAGTAATGAATGTCAAGCCTTATTAAAATTTCTTGAAACTTGCCCGTGAGATTGCAAACTCATCAGGATTTTTTTTGAGTTTATAAATTATTTTTTCTTGGCTTTTATGTTATCTGTCTTTTTAAAGCAGAGGAGTCGCTCCCTGCTGTTCATTAAAAAGATTGCAGGTTTTAGCCCCTTTCCCATTCCGAGAGCTAACTATCTGTGAGAGCTAGCTGATGAGTCTCCTGATTAATAGGTAATAAGTAGGTTATAAATATAGGTTATAAATAAGATTTATAACCTATATTTATAGGTATCTTATTTTATAATAAGATTTATAACCTACTTATAAATACTTATAAATAAGTAGGTTATAAATCTTTATTTGCTATGTACCATTTTTGTTATCATTTAATATGTAACAGTTGTATTTAAACCCTCTAAAATGTGTCCTGGTGTTTTTGACATTAAATAAATGTAAAGTTTAATTAATACTAATTAAAGTACATCAATAGCACAATTTCCCTTGAACCTTTCTTTTCAGGATTCTGACTGGTCAGATTTAACTGACAGTACACAAGCAGCCCACTAAACTCGGATTGGTGCCTAGCATCACCTTTTTACATCTGACACCTCAAAACCAGATTATCCCATTTTCCCTATTAGAAATTTAATTGAAATAGTTGATCAAATTTTGATCGTAATGTTTAGAATATTCGCTGTGATATCCTCACTGACTTTAGGGCAAGCATATGAGAATGATTACTGTCACTGACTCTTGCTCTTCAAGTGCTCCAAAACATGTGAAGGAGGTTTCCGTGTGAGAGAGGTGCGCTGTCTGTCTGATGACATGCTGTCCAGAGAGGGCTGCGATGTGCAGTTGAAACCAGAAGAGAAGGAGGACTGCAACCCAGAGCCCTGCATACCTCTGATAGGTCAGTCAACGTTTTATACGATTGACCTGAATGAATATTTATTGATGATTTTTAGCATCAAGACATTGTGAGCATAATAAAGGGAATGTCCTCCCAGTTTCCCTGAAACTCTGTGGCTCCACTGCCATATCTTTATTGAATTATATTATCAACTCTTATTTTGTATTCAGATGAGAACTGCAGAGACAAATACTTCAACTGCAATGTGGTGGTCCAGGCTCGCCTCTGCGTGTATGATTACTACAAGACAACATGCTGTGCTTCATGTTCCCGGGTGGCCCACAAACAGTCGACCTATCGCCGACAAAGCTAGCGCTCTCTACCAGGGTCACTCCGCTCCATGGTGGTCCAGAGTCAGTACCCCCTGGAGGCCCTCTGGTCCTGTGGCAGCTGGGAAGAATAGACTGGCTGGACCTTGCCTAAAATAGGCACTTGTTGTTTTTGCCAACTGTGGAAAGTGAAGAAGGGACATTTTTGTTGGTTTATTTGAAGACAGCTGTTATGAGGGAAAAATGGTGTGTGCCAAGAATCCACTCACTGCAGATGTCAGCTGTGGTGAGAGGCATCAGTATCAAAGTGGAGAATCTAAAACACTTAAAGGATTTGATCTGTGTCTTATTCAAAGAATCCCTCTTCTTTGCTTCAGTGGGAACAGTTTGCAGGTACTGTTTACCGACAATGACTCTTGTGGATTACTTATGAAGAGGAGAGCACGAGCTGACTGTGTAACATGGACCATATATGGTTACACAGCAGAACTCAGATTTATGGCAGTTAATGTAATCGCACATGTTGTCAGTTATTTCGCATCCACTGCTGACCAAAGATATGTAACCTCACCAAACTGCCGACAGTAGCAGATCACCACCTTTTCCTGAAAAACAAATACTGTGCACCTTCCCTGCTGCCGATTGCATATATTTGACTGTTTTCTGGCAAACCATGTCTTTTTCTCCCTACACAGCTACGAGGTCCAAAAGCAGCCTATGTAATATGTATGTGTAAATGTATGTATGACAATGTGAATGATAAAAAAAAATGGTTTTCAGGCTTCTTGGACAGCCCAACACTCTGCCAGTAACTGAAGAGAAAGAAAAATCTCCCTCTTTATTTATTTGTGTGGTTCCCTGTTGTTACATGAACCACCCGTGGCCTCTTTTTAGCTGTGGTGATAAAACTTTTGTTGCTTTTAAACTAGTCACAACTTTGAACTCGGTGTAGGCATTTCACAGCCTGCTGGATGACAGAAGCAGATAATCAGAAAACTTTTGCATTTTTGGACAGTTGAAACTAACTGTACATATTTCTTTATTTCTAGTGGGATATGATCATTCCACACTGTAATTCCTATGAAAAAAATATACTGAATTATCTATAATATATTATTTACATTTGACTCTAAAGAGAAATCATTTCAGTGTTTTACAGTTCTTGATATGGTGATGCATACATCTGGTTTGCATTTATAGTAAATCCTTATTAGTGACCAATCTTTTTCTACCATAAAACAGCCATTTTCAGTTTTATACAAAAGTGCACACAGTACCTCTGAAATGCTCGGCTCTTGTTGTAAAAGCTATTATTGTTTCCCTCCAAGAAAGATTAACTTACCTCTGATTCATAAGTACTGTATCCAGATATTTTGCAGATATTTTCCTCTATCAGAGAAATAACTATTTTGAAGTGCCAACATGATGGCATGATTTTTTTAAAATCTTAATTCAATCATGAAACAACTGAATTAAGTATTCAATATATGACTGCAACTAATAAAACATCTGTATTTGCTTTATTTGAGATCCCAGCTGTTCCGATGTTAATTTTCTTGAGGAAATTTTCTCTAATAGGCAGTAGACTTTTCAGCAGCTTTTCCTTGTGAATCAGTTTCACATCACATTGTGCATTCTTTTTTTGCAGCAGTTAGAGTTTGGCATGTAGACCCTGAGCTCAGCACTCCCAACAAATATAATCAGCACAGCACAGAAATTGTGGTAGATCCTGGAGTGATGGAGAAGGAGCAATGCACTAATTACTTATAGTCTTTCCTATGAAGATATTAACACTTTAAAACATTGAGCTTAAGCATAAGCATTGAACTTGCAAAAGTGTTTTTGTTTTGTTTCTGGTCGATTGAAAAGATTAACAGGTTTAAACTAATGACATTTCACTCTGCCATCTAATCTGTATTTATTGTATTACTGTAAATAAAATTAGTGAAGCAAATTATTGCTCACAATATGAGCCATTAATATATCCACTGACTTAGCCCTGGTTCACAGCATTTTTCTTCTGCTAGTACGCATTCAGTAACTCCAGTGGAGCGACAGCGTTTCTGTATTTAGCTGTCGAAATTGTGGAAGTGTGCAAAAATCACCACAGAATGAAACCATCTGTATTCAGAGCTCAAACAACATCTAATCTTCCCCTCACTCCTGCCCTCATCATGAACTTCTTCCTGCAGCTTGACCCCTTTTTATTGCCCTCTCACTTCTGCACCAATCTTTTCTCTATTATTGATGACACATCAAAATTCCAGGAACAGAAAAGTGCTTTCATCCTCTACTGTCTTGAGACATTGGCTGTTAGAGGAATATTTACAGACTACATGTTGTGATGCAGACAACCATAGAATTGTGTTCTGTTCTAACCTCAGGGTAGCCTCCTACGTCTTGCACATTGGCGGTCAGTAGGTGTCTTAGACTATGAGGCATGACTACAGAGCCCACGGTGAAACTTCATTATATCCTCCAAACTGCCATACAGAATAATGGTCTCCACAATCTCTTCCGGGTGAATTCTTAACCAAGTGCTGCGTGTCAGACTACAAACTTCTTAAATAAAGAGCAGAAACCCATTTAACTTCTTTGAAAAAAACTATAATTAAATTATTTCATATATAGACCATGATGCAGGGATTAAATCTTTGCTTAACCAGTGCATAGTATCATAGGGGAGCTGCTGACAAATACAGTTGACAAGATAATAATGACCTCAGGTATAAAAATTTGATAAGACAAACAAATACATAATACAATTTTACCAGACTGTACATTACTGTAATATAGTGTATGACTTTATTTTGAACATTTTAAAATAATACAATATATATAGAAAATATAATATTTATTTTTTATTTATACTTTCTTTTAATCCCAGCTCCTTCAGTAAATAATACCCACTTTTTCTTTTTGTTCATGCCCCACCCTATCATAAATCCTTTCTTACAATTTGTTACATGTATTTGGTTGTATAACTCCATTAACATATACATTTACAGATATTTAATACACATACACACAGATATTAACTGTAAATGGCACAGTAGTAGTTATAATTAACTATTTAATTTAACTACAGTTTTGTTGTAAATCAAAATATTGTCCAAATTATTTTTTTAAACAAAAGTTATGATTTCCATTAAGTTGCATATTGCATTTTTAGAATTGTATGCCTCTAAAAAAGAGTGGCATTTATTAAGAAAATGTGATTTGCAGGACTCTTTCAAATCAATTTTTAGCTAATAAGCAGTTAAAAAAATGATGTTTTGTTTGTTTGGACACAAATATGCCACGTTGATGCAAGACAACTTTTCTTTTGAACAGTTTAACTGGCACATGAAACTGTGTGAAATTTTGCTATAACTGGCGTATTAATACTTGAGTTCCCAGTAAAAATGTGTTCTGCAAGGTCACAGTAGCCCTGCCCAGATCATTTCATTACTGAGGTCGAGTCAGCATTTGTCTGAAATCTGAATAAATATCTGAATAATTTTCCACATCACTAAGTGATAATGTGTTCTGGGATTAAAACAATTAAATAAAGTATTTCAGTCCATAATCATATGGATTGCAGTCCTTTAAGTGTTTAAGTCTTTCTTAGATTTTAGTAAAAAAAAAGAAAAGAAAAAAGAATCCAACAACTATGCCTCTGTTTTTTAAGCTCACCATGACCGAGAAAAACACTCCAAGAAATATTCATTACTTGTGGCCTTCATTCTAAGACCAAACTATGACTAGAAGCAACATCTGAAAACACTTCTTCCATGACAATGCTGTGTGCTGACAGTTAAAAACCTTATGTCCCACAGATATTTGATTACTACAAATCCCTCCAGTAGTGTTCCAGCTTTCTGACAAGCTGAAAGGTAGAAAAAAAGCTAAAAATAAATAATAATAATTTATCAAAGGAGAGATCAGAGAATACATTTCTTTTTTTTATAAAGGATTTATACTGTCCTCTTCCGCCTCCATTCTTTTTAAAAATTAATTCACTACTCAATCTTTTATCATCACACGGTCAGGCACATCAAACACTTTTATGGCTCTTGACAGCAACATGTGGTGTTTTATTGTCTTCTCATTAGTTTCCATTGGTAAAATACACCGCTTATTATCAATTTTAATACTCTGTTTGTCTAGCCTTCACATGCTTCTTCTTTTGTAGGGGGAAAATGCAATCATAATACTAGATTTGAACAAATCACAGTCAATGATGAGTTTATAAGGTGATGTATTTGCTATTAGTTGTTAAACAATTTACTGTTACATTATAGTTCAGTTGTAACCTATTGATGCCAACATTATTACAATGGAAAATCCTCCTTGTTTTTGTAGTGAGCTTTTTAATATGTTCAGTACAACAACAAAATTCTCACTGCTAAGGGATTATTAGAAACTTAGAAGCACAACCCCATTCATTAGTGGTTTTAATAGCAGTATCATCACTCAGTACAGTAAAAAAGTCATGTTTCTATCAAAACACTATATCTGAATTAAGTGAATTTCAGCATAAAATAAATAAAAATCTTCCAAACCTAAAGCAATAAATGTTTGCAAAGAATTTTTTTACATTGAATATAATTTTGTCTTTGAGCTGTACTATTATAGAGCATAAAGTGCCCCATTTTAAGTGATATTAGTCTCTGTTTTTTCAGGATTTGTCTTATTACACATGTGATTAAACAGTCGTTTACTCTCATAAAGATAATAAAGTTACACTTCTGAAAACATTAGGAAATGATTTATTACTTATTAATAGTATGTATGAACGGCCTTAAATGTCTTATCAGAAAGCTGTGCCCTGGACTCAAATGCTTTGTTAAAAAATATTTAGCATAATATCCTCATCCTGTTGATGAAGGCTATAGTGTATGTTGCTTCAACAGACTTTTTACGATGTCATTCCTAACATCACCATGTGATGGCGCCAGTGTCAGCCTGATTTGCCTTACCTCAAAGTGGATTCCCTGCTCCTGGAGTGAAGCCCCTGCCACACGAGACTTTAACATTCAGATGCAATGTGGGGCTCGGGGAGAACTGTGGCCTGCCAAGTGAAGTCCTTATCTCATGTGTGGTTAAGATTTTTTAGAGTAAACATAAAACATTTCAAGGAACTCAAAAAGCACAAACCCTGAGGAGCCTGAGCAGAGTTTTCAAAAAGTTGAGAAAGTCAATGAGTAAGCCCTCAGGCACTAACTGATTTACTGTTTATTATTGCACAGCTCCAGAAGAGGTCATAACTGAAATTTCGTGAGACAGTATTGCAAATATATTGCTCTAATGTTACAGCTTATTGGTCAAAGGCAATTGTGTTAACTGCTCTGCTCTGAGCACTTGTGTCAAGTTCAAATCAATACCACTTAAACAGTTTGCAGCCTTATGGGATCCTAGTATCTTGATTCATTTAAGGTATTCCGTGTTTTAGTAGCTATTAGGAAGGTTTCTGATGGGAAACCAAATATCTGGATTTATACTCGTTAAAAATGACAGAATTCAAGAATAGAAAGTAGTTACAAGTTAATCGAGGCAATGCTCAGCGTACACTGACAGCTTTATTTAAAAAAAAAATCATGAAACATTTTCAACAAAGATATATTATTGCCAGCTTTGACAGCATAGTTGGTACTATTTTCAACTTGTGAGTTTGTCTGCAGAAGTGTGTACGTTATTCTGGCAAAAGTTGTCCTGGAGGCGCTGGTAGCTTAGTGTTTTGAGTTGGCATTTTATGAATTTGTCAGTTCAGTTCTGCTAAAATTGCACAAAGATATGGCTATACGACTAGAAAAAATGAGGGCTGATTTGCAGCGTGTGATCTGAGATTTCACTGGGATTGGAGCAAAATGGTTTTAAGGTTTTTTCCAGGCAGCAATGCCACCTGAGTGCTGAAAGGCTGCAGCTTTGTGTATAATTTAAATGAAATGCTGTGCTAAATATATTTGGCTAAAAGCAATTAATTTTTAAATTTCACTTTTGTAATTGAAATGAAGTAAATGGATTAAAATGGATGGAAGGTCTGGCTACTCACCTAGAATTTAGTTGAAATTCATATTGTATTTTGTGAGTCTTCGTGACTATTTTCCTGTAGCTACTATCTATATATCATGCATACTCACACACCTATACATAGTTTGGGGTTAATTTAGGATTCAAGTAAGGTACATCAATATGTGCGCTAGAGAAGCCTGTCCAAATGTTGATGACCTCCTCTACTTCCTGCCACAGCCACCCTTGTTGTCCTTTGTAGAAATGTCATGGCTCATGTCATATCATCAAGGTTCAATTACTGCACAGAAAAAAAGGTCACATCAGACCTGCAGTAAAGACCAAAACCAACACAGACTTGCATCACGCTCCACCTCATAAATTGCCTTTTTCATGTTGAAGTGCTCTTCAGGAATGATCCTGTCAACAGATGCAAACACAACTAATAAAAGTGCAATAAACTACAGAAAGAGCTTAGTTTCACATTCTTGCTTTTAAAAGAGGACATGTGATAGTATGGGGGGATAAAGGATCCGTGTGAGGAGATGAACTAAATTTACAGCATGTGTAGTCAAACGTGTCATGAGATTATTTGGGTGATAACATAAAGACTTTGCCTTTGAGCTAGTTCGCAGCTGACATCTGTGGACTAGCTGATGATGACTACTGGCTGTGCACACAGCTCTTGGGGGATTAGTGTGACTTACTTTCATCCATATTGTACAGCTCTCATGCAGTTTTTTTTAAACCAAAAGGATGGATTTCCAAGAGGCCCCGTCAGTGGCTCCTCAGCAGTCATGTTCAGTCACTGCAGTACTGCTGATTCACATTTTGAAGGATATTAATAGGCAAGTAAAAGATCCAAATGTCCCAAATGGCTTTAAAGTATAAAGTAAATATCCTACAATATTAGATGGGGCCAACCAACATGATTAGTGGTAAAGCAGTCATAATTGTCAAAAAGTGTGTGAGAAAGAAAATAGGAGAAAGAAAATGAGAAATATGTGGACCATAAAAGAGATGGCCTAAACAGAATGCCAGTCTCAATATAAGGACACCTATTTCCTCTTCCTATAATGGCTCAGCAGATGGTTTAGTCAACTTGTCTGGGTTTCTGTATTAAATCTTATGTTAACTTCACTGTGTAGACAGAAACCTAAATAAAGATGCTGGGAAATAATGTGTTGAGGGTGGATAGCTTAGTGTTTAGCAGTGTTTGTGCTAACAGGGAGGGAATGAGTAGATAAGTGAATCCATTGATTGAATCATAAAAACTGTATCCCAAGAAAGATGATTTTAATTAATATTAATACTTGTGTTTTCCACCAACCTGAAACATCCAATGTTGAAACAGTACACACAGCTGGATTTCAGGATATTTCAGAATATTGTTTTTTAAATCAGCAAAACATTAACCTATTTAAATTTTGTTTAACATTGTATGTATAACTGTGGGATGCCCTACAACCCAGCCAGAAGTCTGGCTCCCGTGGACCTGCCAACTCGTTATGTATATAAAACACAACTGTAAATACATAGACAATAATTTCCTAGAGGATTAATAAAGTTTTCTGATTCTGTTGAATTAGTTCTAACCTCTAACATTCTAACCTCTCCATCATTGTGGGCAACACCAAAAAGCTGTCAAAGGGCATTGCAGATCTGCACAAAGCTGGAATGGGCAAGAACCTGGCGAGAAGGTAACAACTGTTGGTGTGATTGTTCTAAAATGAAAGAAATATAAAATGAAGGTCATATAAGCTGTTAAACAACATAAAATACTTGAACTCACTGTTTCCAAGCTAATATTGACT